ATGTCAATATTTAGTTTATGATTCATGTCATGTTCATTCTATTATATATATTCTGTACATGATATGATCGTATGAATTTTGTAGAAATGTATTTTTGTAAATAATTGTTGTTTAATTATGTGAATTTTTTTTATTAACGTCCCCCAAAAGAAAAAAAAAATAAATGAAAAAAATTAATATATTGGACGAAATTTTTCCCTAATAAAAACATTTTTTCCTGCATATTTGGCATTCTGTTATTCTATTAATCCTGTCTTTTCAACTACCAACTCACCAAAACCCTTTATTGTAAGATAAAATTAAATTTCGTCAACCATCATTGACTAGTTGCACCATGGTCCATCATTGTACTTAGGTCTATCATTGTATTTGTGTTGTTTTGTTTTGTTATTGGGTTAGTTTTTTAGAACTAGAAGAAGTCACTTAAAGATACTATGTCCCTTTTGCAGCCACCATCACATTCTGTAGAATTTGCAGGAATTATAAATAATTATGTCATGTATATCCTTTCTGTGAAAATTAAACATTAGCAGTGTCCTAGTATTCAAGTTATGGAAGAAAACCCGTTTACATTCTAGACTTCACTGTCAGATACTATTGAGTGACTGACTGACATCTTTTTTTACTTTGGTAATAAAATACATAAAATGAGCTGTAACAGGTACATGAGCATCAATAACCCACTAATTGTAATGGACAATATTAAAGTGATAGAATATTTGTGCAGCACAAAACGTACGACCATTCGGTAAAAGGGTCTGAAAATTAGACTATTACTTAAGTGAGTGCAATCAATAAGTCGATTTGTCAACTAATGGTCCCACTTAAAGCCATTTTCAAACCCTTTTGTTACGAGGGAAGTTCTAAATTAGTATTGTCTTTCAAATGCCGTTGGAATTTAACCTTTCTCATTTGTTGGCCTGCAAATGGGACATAGTACCTTTAGTAAGCAAAACTAAGCTTTAAGTTGATAGGCTGGAATCGCATTAAAAAATTATGCTCTCTTGAATACAGAATTTATAGTAAAACACTCTCTCTTTTGTTAATAAGATTCTCAATCGAGCAGTACATTAAAGAGTTTTCATCGTCATACAAGAATTTATATCTTTTCCCAAGTATTTTTTATGATTTTCGTTTATGGATAACAACAGAGTCACAACTCCAATTGCTAATAGTCCAATACGGCGGATATACAATCAGGGGTGAAGTTGCCAGTTTTCGAAACATAAAGTATATTTTCTATTCTGTTCTTTATTAACTGCTGTCAAAATATATTGATATGGTAAATTTCAGAAAATTTGATTTCGTAAAACTCTTTTTTCTTTTGTTCTTTAATCTAGATCAAAAGGCCCACGCTCTTCTATTGTGACACCATCATGAATCTATGCATTATTTTACTCGATCTCTATTTCAGTTTATAGTTTTTACATGTATACACAATGAATATGCTGGGAGAGATTCCGAATATTACTCTTAACAGTAATATAGTGACATTTCTGAAGTAGGGCAACTTCACTGTCGCAGAACCAAGATTCTCTTGCGTGGGGAGAGGATGGGGTACAAATACCAAAATAGACATAACAAGCCAAAAAAGAAGAAAATACGTATTTAGGCCTACAATTTTTTAAGGTTAAAAACTTGTGCTGTTTGGGGCACATGAACAGTAATTTTGGCATATTTCTTTTTGTTAGGGTACTTTGATAAGATAGGTCACATTTGGTTTTGACAGGGGCATGTGCCCTTGTCTGCAAAGACCGAATTAATACCCGAATCCCAATTAATTTATTCAAGTCGATTTTTGCACTCTTTTAAACAGTGTCCCCTGTTCATCTAAGCGTGACCACATACCATACAAAACTGATACCAAATGATTTGAGAGGGCCTTCGGTCCTGTAAAGCGCTATAATAACTAGCTATTATTATTATTATTATAAAACGTATCTTTCATAATATGTATTAACTGTTCATAAATGATTTTTAAAATAATTAACAATTTTCTAGTTGTAAACTTTTTTTGGACTCGCGCTGTATAGAACCTATCCAACATGTTAACCTTAAAAAGGTCGGGCTATTTGAGGTCTTAGTTCGGCCGGGTGGGGGGGGGGGGCATTATGCCCCCCCCCCCCATAAGATCTAGGCCGTGAAGCGACCGATCTCCGCTAAAATTTGCACGCATGTCAAGTGAAGTGTACAGAACTCAGCGAGCGGCGGGGCGCCATCCATATGCGTTCCCGAACAATCAGAAAAATCGTGGAGGGGGGGGGGGCGGCATGATGGCCCCCGGCCCTATTAGGGTTAAGGAGAGCTCGGAGGGTCGACATTTTGTGTGCGTATACATTTCTAGGAAGCTGGGTAGAAAAATAATCAAATATTCGGAGCAACAAAAATATTCTAGTGAGTTTGTCGTCTTCTCTTTTTGGGTCAAACCAAGTACGTATAGGCAAAAGTGTCCGTACTACACAACTTTACTTTTTTGTTCTATATTGCAAGTGATGATTGTCTTTACTTGGTCAGCTTTTGGTTGGTTATATTTATGTCATATTCTCAAAATATTCCAGAAATTACTGCACAAAAAGTAGTTTGATAAGTTATGTCATCATAATCGTGTTCACAGAAATCCACAAACTCTTTTGCAGACTGTAAACTCTGAGTTGACTAATGTGACTTTGTGGATTCATGCAAACAAGTTGTCTTTAAATCTTTAAAAAAAACTAATTATATGCTCTTTAGTAATTCCCTGAGTATATTGCCTGGAAATGTAATGTTCAATGGTGCTGAGATTGAAAGAGTATCTACATTTAAGTTTCTTGGCTTGCATATTGATGAACATTTAAATTGGAAAGACCATATTAGTAAACTTTGTAAATTATTGTCAAGAAATACTGGTGTAATATATAAATTGAAATCTGTGTTCCCACTGAATATTTTACGTATGTTGTACGCAACTTTAATTTTGCCATATTTGCACTATGGTGTGCTAGCTTGGGGCAACTCGTTCAAATCTCAAATGGATAAATTACTACTGGTACAGAAAAGAGTAATACGAATTGTTTGTAACAGTAATACTCACTATCTTGCGCGTACAGATGTTCTTTTTTATAATAATAGTGTTTTGAAAGTTGAAGATATTTATCATTTACAACTAGGAGCTCTAATGTATGAATTGAATGCAGGTCTACTGCCAGTGGCCTTGACTAGAATATTTAAAAAAAAAATAACCAAGTTCATAGTTATTCCACACATCAGGCGCAAGCATATCACTTGCCTCTTGTTAGAACAATTTGCCCTTTGGGGTCCACTACTTTGGGGTCCACTGGACCTAGGTTTTGGAATTCCCTTGAACCAAGAATAGCGCATTCGGTCAGTATTTATGTATTTAAGCGCAAACTGAAGTTACTTTATTTGAGTCGATATTTCTAGATTTATAGATTTATAGCTGTGATCAATATTTAAGAAAATTATTTACTATACAGGTCAGCATAATTCTACTCCCGTTTCTCACATCTACTCATCTGTCCGTCTTCTTTTGTTTCGTCTGTGTTTCAGTCCAGTTGCTCGTAGTTTTTTTCCTGTTTCTCTTGTTTAAAGCCATTATTAAGTAGTCAGTAGATTTTATTATACTTATTTATGTTTATATTTTCTCAGTTGTTTAGTTAGTTAAGTTTGTCAGCATTTAAATGTATGCATTATTCTTATCTGACGAGTTTGTTCTTTTAGGACATACTCATAAGCTACTCATGAGGGACCTTAATTCCACAAGCCTTGCTTTCAACCAAGGTCACCTCATCTTTCTATTGTAACGCTGTTATATTCATGTCATATTTGTAAAGTGTGTTATGAAAGAAAGATAAATAAAACTTGAAACTTGAAACTTGAAACTTGAAACTTGAATACCTGGCTAAAGAGTCAAGATCATTTGCATTTTTATTGAACAAACACAATTTACATAAATCATATACAAGGGATCAGGGCCGGAAGCCTATGATTTCTATATATATATATATATATTGATCTCTTGCCCGATATAATGATCTCGTAAATTTCTAATCTAAATTCGCATTGTATCCACCTTGTCTACGGTATATGTTTGAGGCTCAAAAGATTTCAATGCCTATTACTAATTTCTCATCTAATTTCTCATCTAAATTCGCAATGTATCCATCTTGTCTACAGTATATTAGACCCCATAATTGAGTTAACGTTTATATTCTGTAAAATTAGTCTGGCCCGGGAAAGAAAATGAACCTTTTATTCAGACTCATCCAAAAGTTATAAATGTCAGTTAGATATCAAAGGGTGGAAATCTGAAATCTGAAAAGCACTGAAATCTTTTCAACCTCCTACGCACATTATTTATTTATTTATTTCTGAAAAATTAAAAAATAAATAAATGTGCGTAGGAGCTTGAAAAGATTTTAGTGCCATCCTTAGATATCTATAAATGATATTTATAACTTTTGGATGAATCTGAATAAATTTTATATTTTCTTCCCCGGGCCAGACTAATTTTACAGAATATATAAACGTTAAAATAATTGTGGGGTCTACTGTCTTAGATAACTCCCAACATCTATATTGTATGCCTCATGCCTAGTATATACAAAGATTTCCGTTATTAACATAGTCGATTTGAAAATTGATCAAAATCTTTTCAAACGCTTGTATAGAACCGATCCGTATCTAAAAGTAAGACTGTGAAACTATACGTCACCTATACTGGCAGATGCAGATGGGGTGAAACTATTTGAAAACTACAAAAGTCCACCATATTTGGTGAGCTTATACAGCACCTATTTCACTCTTTCCATCAAAGCCAAGGTGCTATATAGGGACGGCCGATTACTCCCAACATTGGTCCGTATAATTATGCACCCCGTAATAAGTATGTGAGTTCCAGAAATAGTTTAGTTCAGATTTCCTACAATCAGCACGTTTCTTTAAATGCATGATTTTGATTAATGTCGGAAAACAAAATGATTTCCATTCTTATTTCCTCCCAGGCTGCGGCGATTGCAGACGATGTGGATCTACACAACCGGGATGTCTGTCATGTTTACGAGGACTTGTAAGTGTCAAGTTAGAAAAAATGATGAGGAGATGATAACGATTATGATGATGATGATGATGACGACGATATTCGTGTCAAAGGCTCCACATAAATTGTTATACAACAGTTCATATCGAGTTATAAAAATACAAAAGGACAGTTATCCATATACTTTTCTTGGTTAAACCGTTTCATGTGATTTACCAACATTGTACGTGCATCATATATTTGTGTATTTAATGGTATTATACATGCTTTTTATAATAATAATAATAATAATAATAATTACATTTGTAAGGCGCTTTATATAGGCATTTCTAAGCGCAGGTGGTACTGTCTAACTCAGTATAATTAATTTAGCTTAAAGGCATCGTTTAATAATGTTAAATCGGCCCTATGTGTTATCAGTGTCTGTGATATGGTGTAATATTGAAGCCCTAAAAAAAAATCGCGCTTCAAATTGATCAAGAAGTGCTTCAAAACAGCAAAAAATCTTTGAGTGACCGGTTTTTACCATACTCGTTTTCCCCAATAGACTGCAGTGTAATTCCAATTATAAATATCTTGATAATCAGATTCTTAATAAAATTCATGGGGTTCCTGACTGACCTAAAGGTTTTTTAATTATCATTGCAGCATGAGCTAAGTCCAGGATTTTGTTTCTGAGACAAAGTTATATTACTAATACAATATAATTCAGTTGAATTGAATTAACTACTTGTGTGCGCCATGTCAAGAAAATATGTAAGATGACATGAACATCTGGTGAAAGATGTCTCGGAATACCGTTGATATTAGGGTTATGTTATTAATCCTATCCAATCCAAAAGGTATTTGATATAGCGCCTTTTTCTTGCGGTTACAAAGCGCTGAACACACCGCTCCACAATTTTTGGGCCACTCAGTATAGCGTACGCAGGTTTTTTTCCGAGGGGGGGGGGGGGGGGGTTAAATTTGAAAATCGCGCCGAAAATTTCGCAACGACTCAGCCAACCGCTAAATAAGCGAGTGGGGGGGGGGGGGTAAGAGCACAATTTTTTTTTTTTTTTTTTTTGCTTTTTGGAGGGTGGGGTGACAGCACTTTTTCAGTAAATTGGAAAATTATGCCGGCTGATATTTCTTTCAGTAGGGGGAGGGTAAGTTTTTTTAATTTTTTAATTCAAACAAATTTGAGGGGAGTTCCTCCAAAACACACATATAAACAAATTGAGGGGGGTTAAACCCCAACCCCCCCCCCCCCCACCCTCTCTGCGTACGTGCCTGGGACCACTTACTAACAAAAGTTAGTCACTACTCAGAGATCAGTTAAGTATATGTAGGCTTGGTTAGTAAAGTAATTTCTAGCAGAATAGATGTGACTTGAGTAATTTAAAACACATTTCCCTGGTTAAACCGTTTGTGAATTATTCTGCACTTCTCGTTCTGTCGTTTCATAATGTATTTAACATTATTTTATTTGTACCCTCATCAGAAGCAATTCCACTCTATATCTTGAGCAATATCTTCGTTACAATATCCTATGAGGATGTATCAATAATCAAAAAAATTGGAGTAAACATTAATTTATTTATAGTTATGTTGTTATTGTTTTACTCCTGAAAATTGCGGATAAGAATGGATGAATAAACAAACTGGTAATTATTGACACAGAATCTATTCTTAGGATAGCTTAAAGTCAATCACCATCTTACCTATGCTTAAACTAATAGGGATTTGGTTGTCTAAAAGATGCAAATGAGTTTTATAATAGACTATTCTGTGTTGTGTATGTGTCCGTCTGCGTGTTTATTATTGCACCCTTCTCTTAAAATCATTGTATGTTTAGCCTGTGGTATCACGTCAATTAATTATCGTGTTATTTTTTTTATTTATTTATTTTTTTTTTTTTTTTGGGGGGGGGGGGCAAGTGGGAATTCAATTGCAAAGTCGAAAAAGTTGATTTACCCTATGAATCTCCATTGTTCTGTGGAAATGTTTTAATACAAAACATTTATTAAACAAAATATATGATAGTCTCATGAAAGAATTATTTCATTGACTAATTGATACATTGAAAATGTTGTTATTTTGTACGTTTGTTTGTTGGTCCTTTAGTACATTTATTTTTTTATTTTTTTATTTAGAAAATGGAGTCTCGATACCCTGCTGTTCAGTTACGAGTATATATGATTAAAGAGCATAAAACAAGCGTTTCTAAAAAATAATAATTACTTTTATATAACGATGAGTCCTCCTCTACTCAATAATAGTTCAAATAAAGATACACATTGTGCTGTAATGCCGAAGTTTCTTTTCATTTAATCAGTTTTATTCAGGTAACATTAGATGAAAACACCCCATATTCAGGATTTTCCCATTCTCAAAACACTGGTAGATTATTCACCGATCGAATAAGATAATAAATTGCACGACACCTTGGCTAAACTAAATTAATCATCCTAATGCACCTGAATAATTTGCGTCTAAAAGGTGATAATATACACGTATATATGACGAAATACTACGTTATGTAATTCAAAGGAATTATCGCAATCGATTTTTTTTCCTTTTTATTATTTCGAAATGCATCTTACAAAAAAAAAGTTAATTTATCTCCAAAGGCACTGAAAGGGGGAGAGGAGGGGTTATGGCTTTCTCTAATGTACGCAGAAACTAGTCTAGTATGTCGGTCGGCCTTTGAGGAAAAAAAATATTAAAAGCAATGAAAAGTGACAAAAATAAAATTGTCCTTTGAGACTTTATGATTTATTTCATATTGATTGTTCAGTTTGTGCACATAGGTGCAAATGTATATTTTGTATTTATATGTGTATGAGGCGGGGGCTCCAGCCGCCCCCTTCCCGCCCATGAGTTTTGAAAATACCATTACTCGGGCAGGGAGTTGGCTGAACAAAATTGTCGTCATTGTCGTCATCATCCACATCAGTATCATCACCATCATCTTCAGCATCCCAGTCACTATCACCGACATCATCACAATAATCATCATGATCACCACTATCACCATCATCATCATCACCATCACCATCACCATCACCATTCCAGTCGCCATCACAAACATCATCACAATCATCATCAGGATTACCACCTTCACCGTCATCATCATCATCATCATCATCACGATCATCATCACCATTCCAGTCGCCATCACCAACATTATCACAATCATCATCATGATCACCACCATCACCATTATCATCAGCAGCATCACCATCATCATCAGCATTCCAGTCGCCATCACTAACATCATCACAATCATCATCAGGATCACCACCATCACCATTATCATCATCATCATCACCACCATCATCATCACCATTCCATTCGCCATCAACAACATGATCACCATTCCATTTGCCATCACCAACATCATCACAATCATCATCATGATCACCACCATCACCATCATCATCATCAGCAGCAGCAGTATCCCAAACGCCATCACCATCACCTTCACATTCAAAATCAACGTCATCATCATTATCATCATCATCATCCACATTTTCACCACCACCATCACCACATGTACCACTAACTTTACCATCAAAAAGGCCGAAGTTATACCTTTTAGGAATAATCTCCTGTTTTCTCCTGTCTTTCTTGCACTTCAGGCTTCATCAGGTAAAAGATCATCTCCGGATTTTCTTTGGCCTTCGTATGGATCCCTCTCGAGACCCCACCCTCAAAATGATTTCTTGACAAGACATGGAGATATGGATTATGGAAAGGACGTGGAATCACAGGATGCAGGCTTAGAGGTGAGTGCAATGACCACCATCACTATCACTCACATGGGAGTCTTTACTAAATGTTACGACTCAAAATAATAATTCATCAAAATATCCAACCTGGATATAGAGCGGATATCAATCATGAGATAAAGGATGTATTGACCATATTTCTTTCTTTGCACCCAGTTACACGTTTCATATTGTTACCATGATTTATATTCCCATTTTTATTTCTATTTTTTATTTCTATTATTTCTATGGTCATAGATGCCATAGATTATGATTATTCAAAATCCACAAAATGCCAAGAATATTAGTCTAAACAAAAAAAAAAGTTCCTTTTGGGGCGAGTCAATTTTTTTATTCGCGTTCAATCATTCAGTCTGATTAATCAAATCACTTCTATATTAAAATATAAAGGACGAAATTGTAAAGGTCTACGATCATTCGATCATTCGCGTTCAATCATTCAGTCTGATTAATCAAATCACTTCAAAATCCACAAAATGCCAAGAATATTAGTCTAAACAAAAAAAAAGTTCCTTTTGGGGCGAGTCAATTTTTTTATTCGCGTTCAATCATTCAGTCTGATTAATCAAATCACTTCTATATTAAAATATAAAGGACGAAATTGTAAAGGTCTACGATCATTCGTGAACGATGGTATCAATAACATGAGTTTTAAATATATTTTCACGATTAACAGTAATAGTAATACTGCTGAGATGGAGATCATAGTGATATGTAGTGACCTCCCTTTCCTTTCCATTTTCAATTTACAGAATACTCTATATGATTTGCACTTTTGAAGATAAAAACAAATTCTGAGGAATAGAATAAAAAACGACAGTCATATAATAATTTAGCATATTTGGTAAGATGTGTTTTAAATTTCTGAACGCAAAACCAAAAGTAATTACCCTTTGAACAATTTTTTAAATATAACTACCAATATACTCAAATTTTGCGAATTTTGTTGAAATGTGGTCCTTTTGTCTTTCATTTGTGCTAACTTACTATGAAGTGACAGATTCCTCTTCAATTTTTGTCACAAATATTTCTGTCTATGTTCGCAATACAAACTTCTGGATTAACAAATTATCAGGAAGAGTGCAAGTGGAGACTTACTTTTTGTGGAAGTTTGTTACTTTGCACGGTCACTGTTGTTTAATCATGCCATTGCTCTTTTCTAATTTGATTGCAGATGATTGCTTCAGCGCTACGAAAAATTCAAACTCAAGACATCGAGTAAGCAGTGACGACGTGGAGGGAATTCTAAATACTGGAACAAATTGTAACTGGCCTTACTAAGATGTGACTTCATTACAAATTAACGTCTAGTCACTGTTTCATGTAAATTTCTGAAGACAATTTAGAACTTTCCAAGAAATAGGATTCAGTACATATTTCAATGCAAAGGACTTTTGTAAGTTGAGCCTAAAGGACAAAAAAGGGGAATTCTGTTTTTGTGAGTGGAGTACGATGGATGCACCTTAGTGTATGTAATGAATATTTGACCTTTTAACAGCATAAAGAATGAGCTTTTTTTCAGAGAATTTTGAGCACGGGGTGGGGGAGGGGGAGGGGACATGATGTCCGCATCGCACCCCTCTGTATGTCAGGCGAAACAAAACAAAAAATTCTGCACACGCCTCCATAATTATATGTTATGTTTATTTGGTTTATGTATTTGTGCGTTCCTTAACTATTTTTGCAACTATAAGTTAATATAGGGGGCTGCAATCTACAAGCCCAGCTTTTCAGCAGTCCCCTCCATGACCAACCTGTTTTATATGCCTGTTGTACACTATGGACCAATTACAAATATATTGTTAAGTTGCATTGTTTTACTATGTACAATGCGATCCCTTGTATTTTATTTATTTTGTTGGAAATGGAAATAAACGAAATGAAATGAAATGAAATATGTTTAGAACAAAACCATTACCGTTTTGTCAATAATCGTCATTAATTTTAAAAGTGTTTGCGTTGGAAAAGTTAAGTTAAAGGATTGAGGGAGGCATGATGCCTTCAGTTTTTTAAAAAGAGATTCAGACAAAATTATTTTTTTATGATAGGTTAAACGTATTTATCCTGTTCATGGTATTGGTGGGTTCTTGTTTGAAAACGGACAGATTATGTCGGCAAATGCAACAAGAAGTACCATGCCCATTCTTCCCCTAACTGAGCGATACATTGGAATTGGAAAATTGTGCTCCTTACCCTCCACCCCCGCCCTCCCCTCCCCCCCCCCCCCGCTTATTTACCGGATGGCTGTTTGGCCGCTGAATTCTCTCACGAATTGGGCCCCCTCCCCTGCCGCTGGCTGGATCCGCCCCCGAAAATCAGACCCAATTTTTTCAATCACCTATTAGTATATTTTAGGTCCGGCATTTTAATAATGTTAAAGTGCAGAATATATATAAAACACCTATCCTACTAAACTGACAAAATTGGTTTGTTAATTATTTGAGGGAGAGTGGTGTTTAAATTCTGAACGGCAACAGATGATCAGCTATATTTAAGGTCAAGGTGGTACTCATGTGTTTTCTGTTGCAATCCAAATCTTTAGATTTATTAATTTGCTCCTAATTTTTAACTACAAAATACTGTAGACGAAAATGGTTTCGATGGAAAAAGAGCCAAGTAAACGTAAAATGATAGGCAGTAGTTATTTAAAAGCGAAATCGAATTGCTGGTTAAAAACATATTTTCCCTTTTTGCATGTTTATTATTCTGAAAGACATTATTATGATATTTCGTTTTTGGAAATAACTTTTATAATTTTTGTATTAATTTTTTTCTTCTTGTTTTCGTTTCATGAATATGAAAAATAATCATGTCTAAGAATCATCTACGTAATCAGATTAAAATGTACATATGAAAATAAATATGAAATATTGGAGTTTTCAAATCTCTATAATTACAATGATTGAGTGAGTTAATTGTTTTATATTTATGTGTCCTTAAATAGGCATGCATTGTCGAAAGTTTTAAAAAATAGGCTAGTGATGTGATGTATTTTTACCCTAAATGGAAAGTTTTTCTACCACTACTCCATGTACAAAACTGTTTTAAGCTGTAATTCTTAGAACGATCCCCTAAGGTAATTTTGGTATTTCGATATGCATGTACTAAACATTACTATTATAGTATACGTTTACTTACTGATTTAGAAAAACCATGTACGTACAAAATGAGAATGGGTGGAAAATCTGATAATGACAAAAGGAAATTGTAGGGTAAGTTATTAAAAGCGAAGATGGTCATAGAAATAATATGGATTAGGAAATATAGAATAAACAGACACTGACAAAAGAAAAGTAGGAAGCAGGGGAGAAACAGATGGGGAAAGAGTGAAAATGAGGTTGGGTGGGTAAGAGAGGAGAGAGAGGGGGAGAGATGGAGTGAGGGAGAGAGAGAGAGAGAGATGGAGTGAGGGAGAGAGAGAGAGATGGAGTGAGGGAGAGAGAGAGAGAGAGAGTGAGGGAGAGAGAGAGAGAGAGAGGGCGAGAGAGAGAGAAAAAGAGAGAGAGAAAGAGAGAGAGAGAGAGAGAGAGAGAGAGAGAAAGCGAGAGAGAGAGAGAGAGAGAGAGAGGGTAGAAAGAGAGAGAGAGAAAGAGAGAGAGAGAGTGAGAGAGAGAGAGAAAGAGAGAGAGAGGGGGTAGAAAGAGAGAGAGAGAGAAAGAGAGAGAGAAAGAGAGAGAGAGAAAGAGAGAGAGAGAGAGAGAGAGAGAGAGAGAGAGAGAGAGAGAGTGGGGCTGAAACAAGAAAGAGAGACGGGGACGTAGGCCTAATTACACTCAATCAAATCATACAGGAAATATACAACACTGCCCTCTTCGTCTGATTTCTCCCTTTGTTGAGTACTGATCGAGAACATAGCGATTCAATGCGTTTCAGACTGCTTGTGGTGTGAAAAAATAGAAGAGATATGAACCACAAGGCATGGATGGAAATCGCTAATAAAACATGTAGGGGTCACATTATTCTCTTACTTTTCAAAACATAGACACGAGTGAGACCTGCTGCAAAAAAACACACATAAATATACATGTATAATCACCACCGCTCGGAAGACACTGACTGGCATTTTTCATTTCTTTTGTGTTTTTTGCAATAATAAAACAAAAAGATAAAAGGATTTTTTAACAATCAAATCGCGAAATGTTTACAGAATCACACACTCGTCACAATTCCTCATCATGTGCATATAGATTTACTATTTCACTATAATGTAAATTTCGAGAACTCAAGATTATCTTTAACCGGCATCTCACAAAAGTAATAATTTGCTCCAATTGAATTTCATATATTACCAGCTGAAGGCCTAAATTTATACTAGTTAGGAAAACTAACCTATGGTCTTTTTTCATATCAAGTGCAGTTCTAAATGTTTCTTACAGAACCAGCTAGCCAAGTTGGTATCCGATAACATCACATCGTACAACCAGAGCTCTGTCAACCATTATCAATTTTTTTTGTCTTATCATATGCAGAAGCAAATATTCTGTTCGGTAAAGAAAAACGGGCGTAGTTTTTAACATCTTTACAAATGTCATCAAAATTGTATGCTTGAAAACGTTATTGGCTAGGCCTATTTTGAAATATTACTTTTGGTGGACTATAAAGCTGGTTTGATCTCCCAACGATGAAGCTTTGATGGAATGTGTCAGGAGTCTGGAGTCAGGACTTACTCAGAACAATTCCTTTTTTTGATAAAAAGTATCTTTATAAACAGAATACGAATATTACAAAGGCTTTTCACGTATCAACTTTGCAGATACCAGCCAAAACGAAAATGCAAACTCTTTTCACAAAGTGGCTGTGTTTCTCACTGTGTCCTGGGCTCCAAAATGGGACATCCCAGTTGGTCGACGGCTAACGACAACCCGCGTGGTCGGTCAAGCGCGTAGCCAGGATTTCATTTTAGGGGGGGGGCGGTAGTGAGCACGCGAAGCGTGCGAATTACTTACAGAGCGCGCGTAGTGACGTTTCACTAAATTATTAGAGAAAGAAGACAATTTGTTGGACCGTTCTCGACTCGTAATCCTTATCTCAATTCAGTTTCTTTTGCCGTTTCATTAGAGAAAGAAGACGATTCGTTGTACCACTACCGTCCTCGACTCTTAATCTTTGTTTGAATCAAGTTCCCCTTCCTCCGCGCGTAGCGCGGAAGCTTTGACGTTTCATTAGATTATAAAAGAAAGAAGACGATTCGTTGTACCATTCTCGATCGACTCTTAATTCTTGTCTGATTTCAGTTTTCCCCCTCCCGCGCGAAGCGCGGGAGCTTTGACGTCTCATTAAATTATTAGAGAAAGAAGACGATTCGTTTTACCGTTCTCGACTCTTAATCCTTATCTGAATTCACCGACGTTTTTTTTTTGGGGGGGGCGACCGCCCCCACCGCCCCCTGACTACGCGCCTGTGGTCGGTCTTATGAAGCAGCTGATAAAAAGAAGGTCGGCGAGGCCGTCCGTCTTGTGAACCTTGAGATACGTTGTTAAAAGAGCCGCGAGGCCGATAAGCTTTATTATGTTATGGGATGTCAGTCAGGTTGGCCGTCTGGTAAACTGGGCAGTTCCCGAAACTGGACGTTTGATTTTTTTTAGTCAATGTATTTGAGGAAGTGGACACCTAAAAAAAAAAAATCAAGATTATGCAATTTTTATGTTATATTAATGACCTTACTTTATTTCTTTAGAGAGATATCGTATAGAAATTTCATGCATGTTTCCAAATCCTGACCTCACATGAATTCACACTGTAACGAAAGGAGTTGTGGAATGTCAGGTAGGCCTAAATTACACAGGGAGCCTGCTTGTTCTTGGTTTGTTTGAATTTTTTTTAACTCTTTCCATTTTATCATTATTTTTTATTTGGGAATAGACGTTTTTACATATTATACATAAACAAATTCGAAGGCTTTTGTTCTTTTTCCCCCTATTTTAGGATTTATATTTCATCATTTATTAGTATCATTATTATTATTAATATTGTTATAATGATTATTATTATCATTATTATTATCATTTGATTATGATTATGTGTTTTCCTATTTTTCGGTATACTCTTGATTTTTGTAATTTATTGCTGCTTCCATTTAAAGAGATGTCAACCCTTATAACGAGAGAAACAAATTGGAATAAGTTTGAGCAATTTTCGATTAAAGTTGGAAAGCTATAAACTTTTTGAGTTGTCATCAGTGAAACAAAAAATTGGCAGCGCTGTGATGTATCTTGTGAAGTCCTCTCCAATTTGCCCTGTACAGGAATTTCATAATTTTTGTTTTGTCTTGATTATTGAGGACGGAAAATATTTGTTTTATACAAGGGTTGTGTAGAAAAATATGTGCGAAATTTATATTTAGGGTCAATGTATGATTAAACATTTTCTTCACTGATCTAGTTCTCTCATTATTCTGCTTCTATTAAAACCAAATTAATATCAGGGTGCTGACACATTCTATAACCAATGTATCAAGTACATATCAAGCACTATCATTAAAAAAATGTATAAGTGCTTCTTTATCGAAAAAGATTTATTTTTAAATACAAAATTACACAAAAACAAAGAAGAGATTAATGTTCGAGTCCGTTACAACAATGTTTATGGACCGATATTCCATTAACCCCCCCCCCCACTAATTTGACCTCTTTCTTTTTCCAAAATAGGAGTTTGTTATGAAAAAAAAAACACTGCTTATTTCAATTGGGTTCTATGACAATTACCTTCTGGGCAATCACTCCCCGGAAAGCTACCCCTATATAGGACAATATT